TGCTTGGCAGAACGGCCAAGCTTTTGGGAGCATTCGAAGCAAGCTTCGATTAATCTTCCCTTCACTGATCGGATTTTGGGGCCCCTATTTCTGTTTTGGCTCCTTTGAACAGCTGTCTGAAAGTCATTCTTGAGTTCCAAGGACTTTTTGCTGTACTCGAATGCCGATGGCAGGCGGTTTGTTGGAATTGTCTCAGCACGCTTTGCTTCCGGCCAGAGTATTGGCAGTCACAGAGAGGAGAGGCAACAGATTATTATCCTGAGCCTTTTCTTTTGATTGATTCCTTGTGCCAGGCTTGGCACCTTCGTTGGCGAGTACTTTGAGGAGTCCGCAAGGGATGTGGTAATTTGTCGTTGCAGCATGTTCACGTCTTTGGCAAGAAGCCAGGACTGAGTGCGGTCCGCATATTCGAACACCTTTGCAGGACCAGCTTTTCGTTTGTGAAGATCCTCAAGGCCAGATCTGAATGCATTTATTTGGCCTGTCACCTGTAAGTTGTAAGGCGAAATCGTTCTACCAGTTGCCGCCGATGGACTCTTTGGGCTTGAAAGTACCGGCTTCTGCTGGGAGGTGGGCCGTGGGGAGGGTTGGGCTTCCGGGCTTCTAGGTTTTGATGGTGAGTTGCAGATCGCTAGTCTGCAGCCAGAGACAGAGAGTGGTGAGAAGGACGCAGTGTGTCGAGGAAGGAAGCTCGGACGGCGCGAGTGCCAGAACATGTGATTATAAAGTTGCCGTCTATGTGCCAACGCTTCTGCGCTGCAAGCAATTCGAGCGCCTGCACGATGCAAGTTGCCAGCGCTTTACTCTCCAGCTCACATGAAGATTGATGCATGGCATCGGAGTCAAGTAAGGCTGAATCTGGATCGCTTGAGGGGCAGATACAACGGCACACTTCTATTTGTTACAGGAAGTCTCAGAAGATCTTTTGAGGTGCTGGGAATGTTCCAGTTGTGGACTAGCGTGAAGCAATAAGAACCTCGTGCTTGTCTTGGCTCTTGGCTGGTGGGCAAATGGTGCCTGATGGACATAGTCTCGGGGCAGTCGGGGCACTCGAAACGGGCTCGAAGCAGTGTGGGGCGCTGGACCCGACTGAGCCACGCGCGCTGTTGTTGCCAGCCTTCAAACGGCAGGATGTGTGCTCAAATGCTGACAGTCTTCGTTCACAGCTTGTTTAGCTTATGCTCAGACTCAAGCTTGTGAGGTGTGGGGTCGTAAGCTTAATCCATGTGTGATGGTTTGACGCAGGGGATCCGGGATGTCTATACGGATGCATTCCACGCCCGACACTACGTCCTGAGCTAAGCAATCAAAAAGAGAGCTATTTGGCTGGCATGCATATTGCAGGGAAGATCAGGGAAGCATGGAAGGGGAAACCTGCCGCCCCCGCTACCGCAGCTGTCAGAGGTGAACCCCATTTTTGGCAGTCGATGTATAGCCGAGATGGAGCGCGCCATTGCTTTGCTATCCCTCCTTTCGGCAAAAGCTTTCGTGTCTGAGGCTGGGGCAATGCATGTGTGTTGGCTTCTTGTGAGAGACCTTCAGTGCCCATCCCTGCAGGAGTGTTTGGACAAGGACAATGTTGAGCTGCCTGGCAACGAGTTCGTACAGATTGGATCGCGGCCTTCATTCCGCGACCAGAAGTATGTTTGGCCAAATATGCCAGGCGTGCTTAGATTTGGGAAGGATCTTATCAAAACGATTCAGAAACAAGACTCTGCCCCTCTTGAGGAGTACCTGGAATCTGCCAATGGGCCCTTCAATCCGGATTGTGGAGTCTGCAAGCTCAGAAACAACGCGGTAGTTTTGAGGAATGTGGCTCCGGCCGGCTTGGCTGACCGGCGGGCAATGTTTACTATTGCTGGAAATCTTGCAGGTCCTTTGTGTGCGCATGTGCATGTGCCTTCACCTGCAGAAATTCTGGTTGGGGACCCAACTGGAGGGCTAGTGGCTGATTGGTGGGACAGCTACATGGATTTACGCTTTCCAGATGGAGACACTGTTTTGCGGACCATTGATGACAAACAGATTACGATTCCAGGCACCATGTCTCTGCAGGACAGGTTTACAGCTGTCGCCGAAGCATTTTCAAGCAACACTTCGTTTGTGGTTGAGGTCAAAGAGAATATGTTCAACCTCGGAGTGTGGATTGGGCAGCATTTGCCCGAAAATGCGAAGCGTGGCCCGCTTCCAAATCTTCTTGGACTGCACCAGGAAACCCCCTGCAATCATGTGAGATACTCTCCATCCAGGATTGTACAAAACTTGGTCACGTCGTTCAAGGAGAAGCTAAACCTGACCAACTTTGCAACTTTGCACATCCGCCGCCAAGACGCAAGCTGGCAGTGTGACACCAGCGTACCTCGCGTCCTCCGCTATGCGGATTGTTGGTTTTCCGACGGCCAGAGCAACGCCAAGACCCTGGTGCTGTTCACCGACGAGACCGACCAGGTCTACTTGCAGGATTTGCTGCAGCAGCTTTCAGCTGCCTCGGAGAGGTGGGGCGCGATGTTGGTGCATCACGGGGACCCGATTTTGGCCTCCTTGGCGCCGGGTGCCCAAAACAGCGCCCAAAACGGTTCCCAAAAAGACGGGTACGACGGGTACGACGGGTATGCGACCTACAGCGCGGCCCGGGAACTCATGAAGGAGTCTACAGCCCAGCTTGAACTGCGCCGATTCACCAGCTGCCCCCCCCCGGGCAAGTGCATGGACGCATGATAAATTTCATGGCAGAACTGGGCGGCCTAATTCAGGGGGCAGCGAAGTCTCTGCCCCAAAGACTTCAATTTCTGCTTTTGGAGCGACCCAGCCATTTTTGTCCTGGTTGGAGCATGTTGGATCTGGGTTTCTGTTGATATCCCAGCCCTTCGGCGCTTTTGCCATTCAAATTTTCTGTCAAGACCAGGCGTTTGAAGGCGTGTGGTTCATTGCTGCAGGGTTTTGCCTCTTTCCGGCCAAGCCGACCTGAGCAAGTGGGGGTGGAAAGAAGTAGCATACTGCATGCGCTGTCGCATGAGGTGTATGTTAAATGGAGAAGGCTACGTGCCTGCATTTGCTAAGGTCCTCGAGGACGGTCAGCTGCGTGGGTTGGGTGAGGTTTGGAGGCCAGGGTGTCGAGGTTGGCAATCAGGATTAGATTTCGTCGGAGGTCGCTTGCTCCCCTGTCCTGGGGCAGTGGCCAAGACCTGAACTTGGCGGACATGCCAAGGTGCGCCAACTTTTTCCCTTGCGACTCTTCAGACTCTGGCAATCGAACAGATCGGCAGGCCTCATGCCTGGGCCATCGAGCACATCCCTTTCCTCTCACACCTGGCACAGGCCGCAGCCGTGTCGACGTGTTCATTTGCCGTTTTCCGCCGTTTCAGGAGGGTCTCATTTCCGCGAGCCATGGGCGGAACGAGGTCTATGCCTCGCGACCGATTGGGGAGGACTGACACAGAACGGATGGATTCATGGCTAGTGGATGAGCTGTTTGGGTCTCGCTGGCAGGTTCGGTTTCGCGGCAATGGTTTGCGCCCTTTTGGCGTGCCGCCAGCGTGTTTTGAGCCCCAGTGTACCCTGGGCTCTTGGCATTTGGCAGGCCATTAGCTTCGCGGTGGAGCCAGTCTCAGCTGGGAAGCAGGCCAGGCCAGTCTCGTTCATCCACTGCCGGAACAGCTTGGCCGCAGGTTCCATTTCAGCGATCTTGGAAACGAGCTTGGCATGGCTCCAGCCTGCACCGCATCGAGGGCATTGCCAGGGATGGCCTGCAAGTGGGGAAGAAGGGGTCGCGCTGGCCAGCTTGCGTAGGTTGGGTTGAGTTTCCCCGAGTTTGGAGACGGCGGCACCCAGCCTACCGTTCGATAGAGGATGCTGTGCTGACTTACGTCAGGATATATTTGTCTCCATCGTTTCAGTACACGTTTTGCCTGTACTCCTTGCAGTGCCCTCAGTTTTGCAAGCTGTCTGTAGTTTGCATGTTTCTGGTGGCACGGGGAGCAGCTTTTGCCTTCAGGCCCGACTTACGTGCGCGTGTCTCAGACGCATGCTCGTCTCAGCATGCTCGTTTGAAAGGGCATCGGTGCTGTTCAGTTCCGTGTCAACTGAGCTATTTTGAGGTGGGCAACGAGCGCTTCCGGCTGGTCGTGGAGGCCCACGCACAGTCTTCATGCGAACCGTGACTGTGACCCCCGCAGGTTCGGGTGCGTCCAGACTCTTATGATGAGCACGGCGATCATTACAAGCTGCTGCCTTAGTCTTGAGCTTTGCCTTCAGCTAGCTTGCCATACTGACTCATCTGGGTTTGGTCTTGTGACATGGTGCCGAGGTTCTGTGAGCTGCAGCATGTGGAGCCCTGCATCCCTTTGGACTGCCTGGAGTGGGAGGCCTTGTGGCAGCGAGGCACAAGGTACCGAGCTCATCAACTTGCCAGGCGGGGATGGAAGCAGAAGCTGTCCAGGTGGTCGGTGCGAAGCTGAGTATTTCCTCATTTCGGGCAGATAAGCCGCCTCCTTTTGCTGCCGTTGGAGGCCTTGCACTAAAGCAGCTACGACCCGAAGAGCCGACCCTTCGCCACGACACCAACATTCGGCACTGCTGTCAGGTGGGTCCCAGTTGTTTTCTTTTTGACGTTTTGGATGTTGAGACGCTGGAATGTCGCAATGGATGTGTACCAGCTTGTGGTGCTTGATCACGCTGTTAGTGGCCTGGGTTCCTTGAAAGGCCCTGATCGCTGCTTCCAAGCCTGAGGGTCGGACGCTACTTGAATGTGGCCAAAGCATGTGCAGTGTCAAAAGAAAGCAGCATTGAGAAGGGGTTGCAGCATGCATGCTAGTACTGTAGTTGGTGGAGAAGCTTCATCCATGAAGCCCGATTGATGACTTGGACCACAGCTTGGGCTGCACTGGCTTCATAAGTGGCAAATTAGGCAGAAGTCCAGACAGTCATCAGCTACACGTGTAGGAGCAGTGGGCCCCATTGAGAGAACAGAGTTGCGCCTGTCCCAACCCCAACACGCCCCGCGGACGTGGAATTGTTGCTCAGCTTGTCGCCATGCCTTCCCTTCTACAAGCGGGCATGTCATGGCCTTGTGGGCCAACCAGACGGCCTGAATGCGATTCGCTTTGAGGTCCGAGTTTCGGACCATCTTTGGAATGTCCTCCTCCAGCAGAGGTGACAGACCAGGTGCGGCGCAGTGCTTCTGGGTGCGCGAGCACAGTGGGCGTGATCCCAGGACCTCCGCCTCCGTTTCCAGATGTACAACAGGCCAGGATCAAGGATCATTGGTGATCTTGACCCTGGAAACGCTGGAAGGGGACAAGCGACAACACAGCATTCCAAGATTTGGCCGTGGCTGTTCACCCTTCTGGCAGGGGAGCGGCGGTGTGCCGGTGTGGGCTGACTCCTCAATTCCCACTCGGGTTTGGTGACGAGCAAGCGCAGCAGCTTCTGCTTAGGTGTCGATTGATCCACGCAGCGGAGAATTGAGTCAGGGGCTAGAATCAACAGACCATGTCTGTGCGGATTCATGGCGCCTTGCACTTGGGTTGGAAAGAGCGGTCATCAATCTTTTGGAGTATACTTTAAGACAAGAATTGTAAAGAGTTTACGACCATAGCACATGTGAGTTTTGTCGTGAAAATCTCAGCTGATGAGCTACAGGTGCGTACCCGCAAGCTGCTGTGCACAAGCTGGAGCATGTGGAGCTCGCATTTTATTTCGCACTCCATGTTGTGAGCAAGCATCGCTTTGAAAATTTGCCGCCAGGCCTACGCAAGACACAGCAGGGAGGCAGGTCATTTCGAATGTCTTCCTTTGGACAGATAGGGTCTCGTATAACTTTGTCCCCAAAAGCATCGAGCCTGCTCTTTTGGGGCATCTTTCAGGTTGCTTCTCAGAGGGTACTTGTACAGCTTTTCCAACCTCCGACTTGCCTCGCACCGCACCCGCCATTTGCTCGAAGAGAGGTGCGCCTTGCCGGGCTGGGCCTGGGCCCAGTCTACGAGACGCTTATCGTGGACTTCCACGGGGAACGACCGGTGCAGAAGCGGGAGGGCGGCGGGAAGCCCGGGGCCCAGGCGGAAGGGGAGGCGTGCCAGCTGTCTAGACGGATTGTCCCTTTTTTGGAGGATGCACCGAGCTCTGGAGAGTGAGAGATTGGTTGGTTGAAGAGGTTTTTAGGCTTCGAATCAATTCTCCAGCGTTTCGAGTGTTTTGATGTCTATGATCCATTTGCCCCACACGGATCCAATGGTGCATTGGCAACGGAAGGCGAGACGTGCGGCGCTTTGTCGTGGACCCGAGTGCCCCTCCCCAGGCCCGCGAGCGCGTTCTGCAGCTTGCTTTCATCGAGAAGTCTATGGTCCGCTGGAACATGGGGAGACTCTAAACTTTCAACAAGCGGACACGGGGACGTTCTCATTTTCCCGTGTCCGGCAGGGTACGAGTAGAATTGGGCGCGAAGCTTTACGGCGTTGAAGTGAAACTCGAGATATCTGAATTCTTCGTCCTGTGAGACCTTCTTGAATCACACTTGCATCTGACGCACAAGAGCAAGCGAAACCATACCACATTGCTTTGACTCACTCCAGTTGCCGCCGTTGCGAGGCGGCTATGAACTTGGAGATTTGGAATACCCTTAAACCTGAATGATGTCCAATAACGAAGGTTAGAACTCGGGACAACCCCTTACCTTAAGGTACTACAAGAAGCCACTTTGATCTTTGCTTGGCTTGTGGTACACCCTTTTAATGCCAAGTTTGAGTTTTGACTCGTTGGGTCTTGTTTCAAAGGGGAACAAAGGTAATTAGGGGTAGGTAGATCCACTCAAAGCTCTTCTGAGCCATTGATGGCTTGTGCGACTGTCTTCCCTGGCATCCACGTGAAATTCATTTCTTGAGATGGTGATGGCATGTCACCCAATCCGGAACATCAGCAAAGAATTGCCCTCCTCCATACTGTTTTTTCTGCAACATATATTGCAAACAAAACATAGAGGGAATTCTTATCAAGTAGCAGACCGACTACAGATTGAGCTTGCTGGACGCTTGGCAAAGCCGCACAACTACGATGGGGTTGCAGTACAGAGCATGCATTACAATCGTGCACATGTTCCTTGGGGCTGGTAAAGATGGTCATCAACGCCTTGAACAGATATGGGCAGAAGGCCATTACCCACACAAGCAGTTTTGATCCGGGCACACCAGAATTTGTAGTTAAGACTGTTTGAATGCATAAGTGTACAAACCAAGAAGAAAAACAGGAAATTCCGTGGTACGGCACCAAATTGAAAGCTAGCTCTGCGACAGATGACAAGAGAAGAATAAGCGCGCGGAAAGACATGCGTGCGCTATCCATTGGCAGGCGTGAACAACGTGCTCAGCGCAAGCGCTTGAGCGGGTGTGCTTTTCAGTTGGCAGGCGTGGCTACAGCGTGCGTTTGAGCGGGCGCGCTTATCATTCCGCCGTTGTGAATACAGTGCTGCTGCTCCGGGTTGCGCGCAAGCTGTTTCAAAGACAAGTTTCGTTTGACAGAGAAGAGCGCGACCAACACGAAAGCAAGCAGACTGCGAAGCGTTCGGAAATGGCTAGTGATTGCCTCTTTGTGTTCCAGTTTGATTGTATTCTTGTGTTTTAAAATGATTGCCACTCTGTGTTCTAATAGGATTTCTTGCCCGGGGCTTGGGGTGGTCGAAAGTTAGCCTGATGGCGAGGCGTCCGGGGCTAGGCCCCTGCGCACGGACGAGCGCTTTTCGCGACATCAGTTTACGTGGCAGGCGCAGTGCTTTCGCAAGCTCAGGTACAGATTTCGCGGCAGGCGCAGCGCTTTCGCACAGTCAGGCATAGACCTCGTCGCAGGCGCGACAGTCTGGCGAGGTCAGGCATATTTCGTGGCAGGCGGAGCGCTTTCGTAGGGTCAGGTATTTCGTGGCAGGCGCAGCACTTTCGCACCGTGGCAGGCAGAGCGCCTTTGCCAGGTCCAGTGCAGAATTTGTTGGCAGGCGCAGCGCTTTTGCACGGTTATGCCCAGGTCCGGTGGCAGTTGCGCGTGGTCAAGTGCAGTTGTCGTGGCAGCGCAGCACTTTCACAAGGTGAATAGATAGATAGATTGGTGAAAGGAGAATGATACCTAGATTAACCGGAAGGTAGGTAGAAAGAGAGATTTCGGTCGACAGATTGACATGCGCATCGGTAGATAGACAGACAGAGAAGGTAGACTGACAATTGGATGGTTTAGAGAGACAGATTAGAGAGACGTAGAGAGATAGTAGATAGATAGATAGATAGATAGATAGATAGATAGATAGATAGATAGATAGATAGATAGATAGATAGACAAGAAAGAAAGATCGACGAAAACGAGATATGGGTGTGTGCCGTTTTAAAGGCCCAAGCTTCAGTAAAGGATGAAGTTCGACCTGTGCGAATGATACCCGTACTACTACTACTACTACTACTACTACTACTGCTGCTACTACTACTATCACCACTACTACTACTACTACTACTACTACTACTACTACTTCTATTTCCACTTCTACTACCGCCACTACTACTACTACTACTACTACTACTGCTACTAGTACTACTAATGCTACTACTGTTTCCACCTCTACTACCACTACTACTACTGCTGCTACTACTACTACTGCTGTTACTCCTACGACTATTGCTACTACTACGACTACTGCTCCTACTACTGGTGCTACTACTACTACGTATACCCCGAACGGTAAGCCCGCGTGTTTACTTTCTTCCTTGGTTTGGAGGTTTTACGACAACTAGTTGATTGCTCAATTCTCGCCTTGGAGCTGGAATATTGTTTGTTATTTGTCAAGATATATAATATATACAAATATAAACTATGAAGAATCATTTTACGTACCCTCTCAGTTTTAAACGAATCGCAGCCCCCTTCCAAACTTCCCGGTGCGAGCGCCTCATTTTCACAGACCCAAATTTTCTATCATATGTGCTAGATAGATAGTTAGACAAACACGCTGGTGGATAGGTTGACAGACGCATAGATAGATGGATAGATAGATAAAGAGCAAGACAGCTAGATAGACATGCAGGTTGATAGTTGATAGCTGGTTAGATAGACAAGAGAGATAGGCACCTTGGTAGATAGACTGGATAGATAGATAGACGAACAGATAGACGGATGAGATTGACAGCTGGCGTGCAGACAGAGATAGACAGACAGACAGATAGATAACATATAGATAGGTAGATTATAGGCAGGTAGTTGGGCAGATAGTGCGAAAGAAAAGTACTTTGGTGGAAGGTAGTAAGTTAGGTAGATACTGCGATAGAAGGTTAGTAGATTTAGAAAGTTAGAGGTAGAGATAGAGAGATCGATCGACGGCAAAAAACGACAAGAAAAACAAGAGGAAGGAAGGAAGGAAGGAAGGAATGGAAGGAAGGAAGGAAGGAAGGAAGGAAGGGAGGAAGGAAGGAAGGAAGGGAGGGCGGAAAGAAGGAAGGAAACCAACTTCCGCCCACCGGCTTCGCTGGCCCTACAGTAACCATTTTGATGGATACTGTCAGAGTGTCTCGCTCAGACAAGTACTTGCAAAGTGGCCGTATTTTTCTTATCGAACACCCCGAGAATGTTTAGTGGACATAACTCCATTCTGTAAGGCTTGGCCGCTAGGTCCAACAGACAGGTCAGATTCGCACCCAAGCGTTCATTTCAGCTGTCAGGTCACCGTGCACGTGGTCCGGGAGCGCGGCTGGCGCATCAGCGACATAGCTGTGCCGGGCGTCACCGAGGAGCTCTTCGAGAGATCTCCATGGGCCCCTTTGCAAAGGGAGTTCTGAGTTTGTCTTCTAATCCCTTGTATAGGGGCTTTCCTTGTTTCGCACGACGTTTAGTACGAATAGAGACTAGAGGAGTCGATCTGAATTTTTAAACAGGTCATTTTATCAGACAACGGGTGACACATACTTGCCTACGCAGCCCGTCATGATTGTTTTTGTCAGGAGCGTGTCGTAATGCTGGACGCCCCTCCCCCTCCACCTCCGTTGCCTCCGCCAGATCGGCATTTCCTAGGCGCCAACTTTCCGGGTTGTTCTCGGACATCTCTTGCATGGAAACCGATGGCTATCCATTTTTGCAATGAACCCCCATGAATGATTGCTACTTTGTTCATCCGCACATTTCGGCAAGTAGAAGCTCTAGCCTTCGCGGCCGCGAGGCACCTTTCGACATCCGAGTCCGGAGGATCTGCAGGCACGGTATGAGCGGGACTGCCGTGAGTGGTTTGCTCGACGTCCTTCAGATTCTGTCAGACTTCACTTTGGCTGTCACAGGGGAAGAAGCTATGAAAAAGGGGGTAGCCCTCAAAGTCTTGTGTCAGGGTGATGTGGTCCATGGACTCGTGGTTCCTGAAGTCCAGGAGCGCAGGTCAGTTGACGCTCAGGAAAGGGCGGCAAATCTTGAAGCCGACGATGCTGCAGAGCTCGTTGGGACACTGCCTCAACTTTGCACAAAATCTGGTGCTTTGGTTTGGGTGCCGGCTTGGCCAGTGTGGTAGTTTGGTGTGGCTCGAGGGGGCAGCATATTTTTTCTTAGTTGACGATTGTCAAGGGAATGACACGGACCACTGAGACACTCACACGGGCTAGGCCTTTCGACTGACTCCCCAACCAAGTCTGAAAGCCAAGGCTCTGGGAATGGTGCCGGGTGGCGGAGGCGCACGGTCCCAGTGCAGCTGCCGAGATTGAGCGTAGACTTGCGAGCAGGCTGAACAGTGGCCGAACAGCGGGCATGGGGGCTGTTGTGGGAAAGGGAACATCGAGTTGCATTTTCTTTCATTCCTTTACTTTGGCGGTATGTATGCAGGATGCCCAGCTTGATAGCTAAGTTTCAGTGATTCAGGGGGGCTGTTCACCAGACTCACAGTTGGCCCTGTGTAGACTCAGGGACTTGTGCTTTGCCAGGCCAGTTGTCAGATGAGGATTGGGCTGCGTGCAGAGCTGAGGATCCCACGTTATTTGGCCCTGAATTCTTGTTGGAACACCCTCCAACACAGGTCCACCTGGATCCCCATGCAAATGATGTCCACGAAGGGGTCAACGATTTAGGAAAATTGAAGACACCTATTTGGTGGCGGATTCAGGTACAGCGCTGCCAACAACACCGAGATAGAAGCAGCTTTCCGGGATCAGGCAGGTCCCTCGAGACATTTCAAGCGTGAATTGATTATCGTGCCTTTGCTGTCCCGCTGCTTGCTACGAGGCTGTGAAAGTTCAGATCACCATTGGTATTCGCAGCTACGACGTCCTTTTTGAGGGGTCACTTGCTGGCGGCAAGCAGGCTGTTGCGTGCCTCATGTGTATTGGCGAGATTTCAAGCAAACAAATCGATATTTCGCCAACCTCCATCTGGGTACTGCAGCACATCTGTTCATGGCGGCCCTCGTGAACCGCCAGGTTGATACCAAGCAGAAGAAACGTCGCTTGGTCCGGCGCAGAGCTGTGACCGCCGCGGTGCGAGAGGCTTGGGAATCAGCGCTGCGCTTGCCAATGGGCGCGGGATGTCACTGTTACTCTCTTCAATTTTGGTATCGGCGCGGGATGTCACTGTTACTCTCTTCAATTTTGGTATCTCTCCCAGCGGTGTCTCTGCCATTTTGTCGCTGGCACCCAGCAGTTGCAGATGCCGTACATGGGCAGCCACGCTTGCAGGCATGCTTGCAAGGGGCGGAATCTGCAGTGCAGGAGGCTTTGCGTCAGGACAGGTGCCTCGTAGCATGCGGACGTTAATGCGATCGTCAAACCGCACTTGTACTTGCTTGGCATGATCGCAGACCCCGTAAAAGGGAAGTTCGACAGCCATGATTCAGATTTCTACTGAGGGAATCGTGACAATGGCCCAAGTATGGAGTTTTGACCCTGGCACATTTGCGGTAAACTCAATGTGCCACGCGTTTGTGCAAGCACCGATCAATACCCAACCAGCATTTACGTTGCAACAAGGCGGGAGTCTGTAGGATCCATCCTTGGCGGACGCGGAGTGCGTCATTTGCGCAGAGGCTTTTGCAGACACGTCAGGACCCCAGCGGTGTGTTGAAACTAGAGACCCTGCCCAGGAGCCGTCCATGCCGGTTCTCTCTGAAAGCTGTCCCAAGAAGGTCCAGTCGTTTTGGAATATGGAGCTTGAAACGGAGGTAAGGCACAGTGCGAAAGGGCGAACGGAGTGCTGCCTCGTCCCTTAGGTTTGCCATGCCCGTGGTGCAGCTTCCCTGTGGGCACAAGTTCCACGGGGCCTGTGCCTGGGCCTCGGGATGGAATGCGGCGGTTTCTCCGTGTTTTGGGTTAACCAACCTGCTGCGTTGAGGGACCCTGCGCTAGGCTCAGTCACTTGCGGACCGGAGGAAGACTTGTCCGTACTGCCGCGCGGAGGCACGCTTGAGGTCAGCATTGAATGTTGTCACGTTGTCATGGACACTGTTTTGGGGCTCGGGAAGCTTTAACGATGGAACAGAGAGATTCTTCCATTTCTTGTGCAAGCCTGCGTGAGATCAGGTGGATTGGAAGCAAGTGAGGGAAGTGCACATGTTTGGGGGTGAGTCCAACCTTGGAGTGTGACCAGTGTGAGCCTAAGCATTTGAATATCGACACCAGTGCAGCTCCAGCTGTGTGAGCTCGGAACGCACGACGCTGAGGCTACGAGCATTTAAGCTTAGGAGCGCCGGTGACTGCCAAAGGCATGTCCGAGCCAGATTGGGCACTTCGTCCGCAAAAGATCCTTTTTTTGACAGCTCTCAGGTTGGGTGCAAACAGTAATGGACCTGGCCTACTCCCCGCCGTATCTACATGCCAAGCCTCCAGCGTGCCTGAAGCATTACGCACACATAGGCCAGTAGACATCTCTGACTCTCGTCTTTTAGCAGCTTCACTTGACTTTGGCAGCACTTGGTTTAGCAAGAAGTGTTGGATAGGTGAATGAAGTTAGAAGGGAAACATACACGCCGGGTGCTCATGCCATGGGCACTTCGCAATGTTGCTGACGGCGACACGCCTCTGGTTCCAGTGTGTCATGTCAGCGACTTTCAGGTTGGGCAGCTTGATAAAATCACGCATGGCGTTGTCACTCCACTTGAAGTTGCACCGTGGCAGTGAACGTTGCATTATGAAAGGTAGACACACACACACACATAGACACGTATTTGCTTATTGCCTTGCAGAGAAACTCCGGGTTATTGAGACATTTTGAACGGACCTATGAGAGGATGCATCAGGTCACGGACCATCTAAGCGCTCAGTTGGCACATGCCTGCAAAGTTGGGATGGACATCTTTTCCGACGTGTCATGCTGCGGTCATGCTGCCCCTGACAGGAAAGTTCTGCATTGAGGAGAGTCTCGAGACATCAAACTGCCTTCCTCAGCACCGAGGTGTACCCAGGCGCCTCGCCTGCGAGCCTGAGGCATGGCCTTGAAGTGCTGGAAAGAAGGTTGCGACTTGAAAGCCGGAGCTTTCAGCTTGTGCTTAAGAGCTTGACACACCGATATAGCTTTTGGCCGCCAACTCACAAAAGCGCAGGAGGCATCCATGCACCCCTGCTGGCATGAACACAAAAGACACACGGCAAGACGCACGAGGTTGCAGCAAGTTCGATCCAGCCGTTCATGTGCGTGTCAAATCTAGGTCTACTTTTGTGACGCAGCAGTTGAGCCGAGGTTTGTACTCCAGGAGTGCTCACTTGGAGTTCCTGGACGGATCCTTTCCACGGCATCCCCTGCCCACGGCCTTGAGCTCTGAGGGCTGGTTCGAGTGGGCCAAATCCAATCCCCTGATGGTGTTGGGCCTCGTGACACCAGTCTTCTCCATCGCGGCCGCCGCCCTCACAGGATGGGGAAAATGGAACGGTGGAAGGGCCTGGACTTGCGCAATAGTTGTGGAGCGACTCTGTGCGTTTGGTGTGTGAACACATGTTGTCCTGGTTTTGCACAGCCTCTGAATGCTACACAGAATTGTCAGTGCAGCATACCATGTTTGATTTGAGCACTATTGTATGTATACATTGTATGTATACATTTGTATCTTTTTGTTGGTCGCCTCGTCCAGCAAAAGAGTACGTGATGGATGCAACGAAACCGCCATTTGTTCCAATGTGAGATTTCTTGAAGGTTCTCCTTGTTCCCCTGATGGGTTTGAGCTCTCCGGATTCTCTATCCCATGGGCTCTCCTTGGTTAACACAATTGTTTTCCCATGAAACAATTGTTTTCCCATGGGTTTCCCAAAGGTTGGCCGTTCTTTCTTGACATAGCTATGGTGCAGACAGCATCCCTGTGGCATTCTATTCTTCCGCCTTGCCGGGTGTTCTTTCTTGCGCGAAATTGGGGGTCGCGCTGGCGGTGCGCTCTCGCTGTGGTGCCGTGCGCTTTTTTGGGCTCTTGCTAGCAGGGGCAATACAGGAAAGGTGAGCGCTGCGTCTTCTCAGGAAGCCTCGCGCCCAACGCCTTTTCTTTTGGAAAGCAAAGTGAGCCACAATCAAGACCCGGGTAGATGAAGCTTTGTAAAGGACGATCCCAGCCATAAATAGCTGCGGCCGCCTTCTTAGTTCTTTACATGGTTCTGGGTCGACCATTTTTGTGCCAGGTTTTGATTGTGACTCAAGTGCGTTTTTGATGGCAGGGCCGCGACGCTGTGGGTGTCTTTTTGTCTGGTCAGGCTCCGACACTTGTGCGCTTGTGCGTCGGAGCGATTGTTTCGCGCGCGACAGGTTTGCGTGAAGCGGAACTTTCTTCAAAGCTGCACACTTGGTGTGGCACCGTGCCGATCTTCGGGTTTTTGTGATGACGCATGGCCAGGGCAGAATTCTGTCAGACTGGCAGGCATTGTAAGACTGGCATGCGTTTTCGTGGTGGGCGCAGTGTGTTTTGTGCTGGTGCTGTGGGTTGCGTGGCACGCGCAGCGTTGTCATAAGCAGGGTTTGTGAATTTCCGTTGCAAGCGTTGCGAGACGCCAGTGAACCCTCTGCGGAGATCGTGCGTGTGGACGCACCCTTCTCGCTTTGGCGCCGTACGTTTTTCTGTTGCTTGCTTTGCTTGCGAAACGGTCTTTGGAGGTTTTCTCGTTGTTTACGCGGCTGCTTTCGCAGTCGCTCGGTCGCACCAGAAATGTAGTATTCGAAGTGCGGCCGCGCAGCTCCGGAAGCGGAATCGTTAGTTTGAAGGGAAAGTGTCGCGCAAAGGGCATTGCCGCTTTCCCGGCTGCCATCGCAACAAAATACAAAAGTGGCACGCAAAACGCGTTTCCGCGGCTCCAACCGTAAGTTTCAAGCGCGCAAGTAGCACGCGAAGAGCATTCGCGCAGCTTCGGCTCTGAGTACAAAAGTAGCGCGCGCAGCGTGCTCCGCTCCAGCTTGAAAGTCGCAACTTTTTAAGTACAAAGTAGTACGCAAAGTTCACTCACGCAGCTCCGACTGAAAAGTAGCAAGGTTCTATATGCAAAAGTTGTGTCCGACGTGCGCTCGAAATTCACGACTTTTATCGGAGAGCGCTCTCTTGCATTTTCAGCTCACTCAGAGCTTGCGACTTCAAAGCACAACAGCAGCACGAGAACTACACTTCTGCAGGTAAGCTGCCAGCCTTCTTGCGCAGCCAAACTGCGCACAGATCCGGACATTAGAGGTTGAAACGGACATGACAGGTTGGGCAAGAGAGGTTGCAGAGCAACACTCGCAAGTGGGAGCTTCACGCGCAGCATCATGGGCGTCACGCGCAGCATTATTGGCAACGTCAGGCGCAGCATCATGCACAGCATCATGCGCAGCATCATGCGCAACATCGCGCGCAGCATCGCGCGCAGCTTCACCCACAATTTCACTTTGCAGCACCGCGCGGAAGAGAAGTTGACAGGAAAGATTGTGAACCATGATGCCAGGCTCGCTCATCAGAACTTGCAGAAGCTTTGCTTGAGCAGAAGCGTTGGCGTGTTTACGTTTCGGTGCCAATTGGGCGGGGAAATGTCAGAGTTTATTTTGCGTGTTTCTCTGCTTCCAGGCAACCCGTCGTCAAGTTCAGCCATGCTCAACACTATTTGGGGTCTTTTGCCGGGATAGTTTCCTTTATCTTTTCTCGTTGTTCTTTGAGGTTCAATCGCTTGCACACCAGCTTAGACAAGCTTTGTGCTTTGTGCAGACGTGCGTCAAGCAAACGCCCCCTGAAAACATAGAGACTTTGGAGCTGTTCAAGCAGTTTCCGGGTGAGGCGCTGCTGGGCTCCTGGCTGCCGGCGCAGCCTCCGAGCCGGCGCCTGCAGAGGAGGTTGCGGAGGCCGACGATGGGGAGGGGATGTTTGGGGACTTCGACTTCGGTGACTGGGGCGGCGACGACGACGACGAATAGTTTGAGCTCAAAAAGGGCTTGACAGCGGCAAGTAGACAAAAGGGGTGGGGGACTGGGTGGGGATGCGAGGGGTTCCGTGAGAGGTTCTGCGGGTTCTGCTTCAATATGAGGTAACGTCAAGACCCTTCAGCAGCTTGAGCGGGACGCTAGATCACTTGCACCGCAATGGCCTTCAATACTAAGGGTCGTTGCCAACAATTAAGCAAGACTTGATACAGTTCGACCACTGCGTTGGCGACAAGCATGAAATGGCGTTTATCAAACACCTCCATATTTGATGTGCACCGAAGGATCTCACACACACACAAACTGCAAGCTCGGTGATGTGGTTCATGATTTGGACGAATTGACCTGCTGCGTTGGCCCATGTGCCTTGCACGAGGCCCTGCAGCTTGAGGTCACATGAATGTCTGAGATCACAATCAGCTTAGTGTTGCTGCTCCCAGTGCAGTTTTCGGCTCATGCCACGGAAGTGCAAGCGGCGTGACAGACTAAGTTGGTTACTTTTTTCAGCAGGGATGCTGGAACACGAAGTTGTCTTGCACTTGAGGTCGAGACATCCAACCTTCAGAACCCCTTACGCGCTTTGAGTTCACCACTTCAGAGATTCCGCAATGGCCACACAGGTAGCGCCGGAACAACAAGCTATGGCACTTGGGCTCAAAGCACAGCCGAAGGTGCCAGGAAATGGCTGCTGCATGTGTTGCGGAGGCGCTCCTCCAGACATGTGGCAAAGATTGTCGCACTTGGGGGCAAGTATGTTCAGGCTGATGATGGTCGCATCATCGAATACTATACCTATGGCAGCGAAGAACCCGATGCCCAGGTGCTGTTGCAGATTAATGGTTCCTGCGGATCCGCTCGACTTTTCAGTCAGATGACGGGTATGGTGAAGTTAATGAAAGATTTGAAGATCCGTGGTATCAGCATCTCTTTGCCAGGCCATGGTTTCTCATCAAATCACCCATCGAGACAAATCGGAAATTGGCCACGAGAAGATGTCAAGCCAGTCTTTCAGAAGGAGCAGATTCATTCAACTTTCATGGTTGAGGGAATGAGCTTTGGTTCCTCCCATGCCATGGCTGTGATGCATGAGTTTCCCGATCGAGTGACGCGAGTCCATTTGCTGGTTCCTTACCTACCGGTAGAGATTCGAGAACAAGAGGGTTGGCGGCTCTATGGACAAGATGATTCATTTCGCTGTCATCATCCCTGGGTAAGTAGTTGTTGGCCTCGCGCTTGCTGTCTCTTTTGCTGCTGTACCATGTGTTTCAATTGTTGCGGTGCTGCCAATATGGCAGTGGCCGATGCCAAGAAATTCGACAAGGAGGTCGGATATTCCTTGTCTGCCATCCAGGCCGAAGATATCAGACATGCATATGCTGCATCCATACACGGATTCATTTACAATGCGCTTGTGCCCATGACTGTGACGAACTGGGGATTTTCCCCAAAGGACACTGATGTCAGCAAAATGAGAATTTTGGTGAGCTACGGAAAAGAGGATAAACAGAGCCCTCCAGAGCATGGGAAGCTCCTTGGAGACATGTACATGCAAAAGGAAGAAAAATGCATTACTAACATCGGCGATGGTGGCCACAGCTCTCATCACATTCGATTTGGCCGAGGGGAGCTCCTTCAGCTCATGATGTCCGTTTAGTACGCAGCCACTTCCACTCGTCTCACCTCAGATGCAGCTCGACGGAATTGCACCTTGCGTACGTGCCTGATGCGCATCAGAAAGGCTTCAAAACCATGCTCATTGTGCAGAGGTTGGCTTGCAAAGCAGTAGAGGATGTTTGCTTCTGCAGAATCTGGTAGATGATGAGAGGCGAATCAAACAAAGCTGGAAAATAGGAGGTCCAATCAAGATCCCGCTAGTGAGTGTTTCTGTGGAATCGTTTGAACCCAAACTTGCTGAGAGGCTCAGCCATCCTTTGCGTTTTCCAGGTAGCTTCTGTGTATTAGCGACAGACAGCATGCCTGACAGTGTGTTGTTCATTGACAGGACACGGGCGGGGAGACCTACCCAACATCCCCTATTTTCTTCCACAAGTCGGGGTTCTACCCAGTTGAACCAACTGGTAGGTGATATTGTGCATGTCATATCGACAACCAGCTCTGGCTTTGTCTTGCATTGACCCTACTTCGTTGGAGGTGACATGCTTATGCTCGCCGGCTCGTAAGTTGAAGGCTCAGATTTGCATTGGTTCCAGAACTTGATGATTAGCCATGCTATGCACAAGATGATGCAAGCAAGCAGCTGTTGGTTTTCTGACCAAGAGCTTCCCATTGATTGCGGCCCTGTGGCCCTGTGTCGTCTTCACTCCACTCACTCATTCAGCACTCATGGGCATGAAGCGGAGCCATGACATCTCCATGGAGGCTCCATCGCAAGTTGCCTCCTGTCTCAGTGCAGACTGGGAGTAGGCTGTTGTTTTCTGAAGGCCGAGGCTCATTTTGATCCGGGGCCAACCTCTTTCTTTGAGCATTTTGTGTCGCAGAGTTTTTCCATCCAGTGCTGCCGCTGTCAGTCCACAGCCGGAGCAGCGACCGTGCTGTGCTGCAGTTGCGGAGTGCCAATGGTCCCCAACCAGCGGGGGCCTCAGTCGTGAAATCGGAGAGGTCGGTAAGAATCCCTGAGATTGGCGTTTTTTTAGCGGCTTCCCTGCTAGCGTTGGAAGGGCTGGCGAAGAACTTTGTTGGTGGTGGCATCTCGTTTCGAAGAGGGGAGGTGAAGCACGTGTTTGCTAAGGAGCATGCGCTGCGCGCAATGCCTGAAAGCAGAGGTCTGGGCAAGCAGTGCATTCTGTCACGTTTGGGAGAGATCTGCGTGCAGGTGTGCATTACTGACGGCATCTCGCGGCAAGTGGCTCTGCTCCCAGCATCGACGTAGCTGGACTTTGGGCCTCAGGTGCTGCAGAAAGCAACAGACAGCTTCGAAGCAAAGGCAACAGGAGAAACACGGAGGCAACAGGCGAGCAAAGCCTTGGTTGTCTGTTTTGAAAGAGCTGTCGTAGAACAACAACCATAGGTTCACCCTCAAAGTTAATGCAACCGGTGTCCGCACCAAAGGGTCCGATTCGACTTGAGATTCATACCCAGCAGCATACTCGCCATTTTGTGAACCAGATCGCCAGCAAGCAATTCACGTCGTCCGTTTTTTTAGTTGTGGAATGCCTGAACCCAGGTGCTGCAACGCTGCCGCAACTGCAACCGGTGCGCCATGAGATGAAGGGTATGGAGAGTGCGCATATGAGCAACTCACAAAGTTAGGTAGTCCATGTCCACTGTTAGTTGGGGGAGGACGTGGGCAGCCCACTCATATTGATCACGACGGAGGTCTAGTAGAATTCGTTCTGGGCAAGATCTGAATGAGGGAGTTGCATTGGAACCCGCCAGAACCCCTCACAATCTGTGGGGAGGTCTAGGGACACCTGCCAATGGAAACTTTTGCGATTTGGAGGAATGCCGTGTTTTGGCACATGACGAGTTATTGTAGATTCTTGCGATGCGTGACAATGTCCTAGGCGTTTTAAAGGCCCTTCGGTCTTGTAGAGGGCAGAGTCAGCTCCTCGCGATTTCTTTCGGCTCACGAGCTTTACAAGCAGGCTACAGAAATGTCTGCAGATGAACAAGTGACCTGAGCCTCCGAGTCATGAACAGAGATGCTGGCGATGACTTGCGTGAGGCGTGCTGGCCTGGGCAACATGTATTGATGCCGTTTGCCAAATTTCCGGGGTGTCCAGATAGTTGGGTTTTTGTCGGGATCCGTTAAAACGACATCGAACAAGGGGTCCGTCCTTGACGTTTCCATGTCAACAGCTTCCCTGACATAAAGTGTTTCGCATTTTCAAGGCGAAGAAGCAGCGCTGTGAAGACCAATGGGTTGATGGCCTACTGCGGTGCGCCTGCCCTTTCCAAACCGGGGCCTTCATGCAGTCTGTGGCCTTTCTCCGACCTGCGAACTTGCAAGCAAGATTCCATGCAAACACGGCGAGAAGCTTGGGAGGTGTCTTTCTTTGGCCTTGAGGTACTCGTGGAGTCACGGGCTGACCCTCTTCTCTGATCCGCGCGGCGTCCTGGTGCGCCTCTTTTTTTTGGCGGGCAGTTGGGACCATGCCACTACCGTGAAGGTGCACGGGACGGGAACATCTATGTGGGCTGCAGGGCAGGCGCGGCTGTGGAGGATCCTTTGGGGCATTTTTGCCCGTGGTGCAAGAGGCATGTCCTTGATTCCGAGCTGTCTTTCGGGCCTTTTATGCCCCAAACGTGAACAACCACTTGCTTCATGTTCAAACCACTAAGGTCCAATCGAAGTGATCAATATCATTAGGTTGTTCTACAACAGGCTAGATGGACGTCGAGCAGAGTTTCGCCTTGCAGGTGCTTTCAGATTATTTGGCTGAGCACGAGGACTTATGCAGGCGGCTGACAGGGTTGGACATGGGGCTGCAAGGCTGTTGTCATGAGCATGTAGACGAGCGCAGGGATGCCGCCTGCCTGGAATTGGGAGCTGGCATCGGCGTCCGCCCCCAAGCGATTGTGTCCACTGCCACTGCCTTTGTTGGGCTTTATTGGAGGTACACTCAAAACCTGGGTAAGAGGAGAAATCAAAAGGCAGCCCAATCAGAAACGGGGGTGACGAAAAAACCTTTTGCTTCTTTGCGTTGACATGGTAGACAACTTTAATACCAGGTGGCTGTGCGTCAAAGTCAGGCAACCTTTGTTGGGTATAAGTTAGGAAGACACCATCATGAAGCCGAAACAGTTCTGAGTCTGTGTTACGATTACTAGACGTGTCACTAGCAGCGGACTTCCACTTGTCGAGCACTTGTATCCCTTTGTGGTGTTTTGCTAGTTTGATAGGCAGGACGATAGATTGAAGATGGCTGGCAAGATGCTATTTGAGTCTTTGCAAGCAGGAGGGCGCAACCACAGTCATCAGACCAACATCGTGACATGTTTGCCGCACTTTGAAGCACTGCCAGAGTGCGGCTACCAGTAGGTTGCGGGTCTCACCGCTGCAGCTGCCGGTGCCCGGCGGGCCTGGCATGCTTCTGTACTTGTGGCAAGCCATTCGTCGAAGTGTGGGCTGTGATGTGACATGCCAGGCTTGTTGTGCTGACCGACGTTGGGAGGCAGTCACAGCCTTGTGGCTTTTCGCCAGATTTGGGAAGGCTACTTTCAAGTTGAGGCTTCCCCTGCTGCAGCGCAATGCCTCTGCGAACGACGACTCGGACAAGGAAAGGCTTCGCGTGGCCGCGTGTGTGGCAAAGGGACATGCATAGGTGCACGTGCGAGAGCTTGACTGGCGGGATGAGCAGCAGAGGCCAAGCTTCGGGCTTTTCCGGGCTGCGTAGGTTGCATGGGGGTTTGCTCCGCGCGCTTGGGGGGAGGGGTTTGATGCAGGGGATCTCTGGGCCTGTGACGCAGGCATGGGCTGCATCCCTGGAACAGATGCTGGACTGCTCTCGGTTGCATGAGTTTGCAGGGACCGAGCCCGAAGCCCTTACAAGTCTACAAGGCAAAAAGTTGATTCAAGAGTTCACCAATCCAGTGTCATGAAGGAGAATGAGGGCGCACAGACATTCACAGAGGAAGAGCTGTTGAGCTGAAAGGACCCTCATCGTGGGCTCAGACGTTGGATATGCCAGGCCCTTGTGAATGCACAAAGTGCTTTCAGCTGGCATTGTCCTGGGAATGTGGCATGTGTTTGCTTCCCACTGTTGCACCTAGGATCCGGATTTGTTTGAGCCACTGCTGCAGACACTGCTGGCCCAGTGCTGCATCCTCGGAGGGGAGCATGGGATGGGCACTTGTCCTTCTTTCCCGGATACCACTCACATATCTTCCTATGCCTGCTCGGAGGCACCTTGTGATAGACTTGCTGGCCACGACGTTAGTTATTCATTTGAGGCACAGAGTCGACCATCATTATCCTGGCCCTTGCGGACAGGGGGGAGGAGCCACACAGGTTTGTCAAGGTGTTTCGGTTTGGGCAATGGGCATAACTTGGAAATAGGGCAACCCCTGAAATGGATGTTTGCCTTCAGCACACCACACCCAGAAAAGGTACCCACAAAACGCATCGCCAGGTGGACCCAAAGCAAGTTGGCGGATCAATGCAGTACCTCCAGACTGATGCAATCCGCTGAGGAGGAAGAGGAGGAGCCCACTGTGCAAGACTTCCTGGATGTCGCCACTTGTCAGGAGGAGAGTTGGCAAGCTGAGAGTGTCCCAAAGATTGTGAGAGGACCATTGCGTTTGTATTCACAGTGAGTAAGGCCTCACCAAACTTCACTGCGACGGTGCCTTGGGTCGGCTGCCGCTCGGAGGTTTGTGTTGTGGACCGCTCGCGCGCTTTTGCGGTTGAAGTCGCTCTCCAACCATCCCCTACACAAACCCTTTGATTTCTAGAGCTAGTCATCCCAAGGATGATGAACAATGCGCAGCTAAGGACCCAATTAAGTTAATTAAGCAGCACAAGAGCGGCCCGTGGTCATTTTTTGCTTTTGCTTGGCTTTTGTTATATGTGCTTCCTGTATCTTTCAACATCATTGTTGGTTGCAAGCTTGACTTGTGCAGGTTAGAGGGAACTGGTTGGTTTACTTGCACAGTCGGTGAGGGCCGAAAGATGAGTGCTGTATTTGTGCCAGATTCTAGATGAACGACGAGCAGAGCCTCACCAAAGCATGACCAAGGCAGGGCAACCGCCCAGCGCATGCCATTCAGGTGGGGGTTCTGGCATTTGGAGAGGAAGCCATGTAATGTGATGTTTTTGTTTTCATCTTTCTTTATATCAGGTGATCTGCTTGAAGAAGAGGCAGGAAGCGCACAATTCGCTTGTGTTGGATTGTGGATTCATGAGACACCACCTTGGCCGCGCTCCTGCTCTACAGTTCAACCTGAGGCTGCCGGGCAATTAGCACTCGTATAGGCTTTGCACTTTGCAGCGCATCCCGCGCGACTGCAGGCAGGATATGGCTTTTGCTGGTGTTTGAGGTAAAATTGCCGTTGATTTCGCATGTTTTGTGACAGGTGGCTCTGGGCCGCTGCAGAGGCCATCTGGGACAAAGAGTTTGCAGCACAAACGGAACCTCAGCACGCGGCTTGGACGCATTCCGCCTATTCTTTTTCCGGAGTACGAAACCTTTCTCACGAGAGCCACAGAGCTGAAAGACATTATGGCAGAAAGCTACTATTTGGGCTGCAGGAGAGAGGTCCGCTGAAGAAGGACGATGCCAGCAATGAGCCTACCTGTGGCGTATGCTTTGAGAAGGACCAGCTACGGATGACGGCATTTGTTTGCGATGTACCTTCTGATTTCAAGTGATAGCCTGCTACAGGGTTGGCCTGCCTACAGAAAGCCGCAATGCTGACAGTACTTGGGTTGGTTTGAACACTCCAATGAGAGGTGACGCACAATGCACACGAGCGTCGTGCATCGTTTGAGGATGTTTCAGACTTGCACCGTTCGAGTTTCGCTTTGTGCAAGCCAATCACATTGAGTTTACCTTTGTCAAACATGTGGCCAGCCTCACCCTAGCTGGTAAATTGTTGGAGCCGCTGCCGACGGTTATTCTGTACCCTTCGTGTGTCACGGATTCAGAGGCTTATACTTTGATCGGGGGCATTGCTTGACTAGTCTGGATTCGACCAACCATCGAATTTTCCTGCAGCAGACGGAACACCATTCGGCCAGCATATGCCGACCAGCTCAAGTAGAAGTGAAGGTGAGCTTACTCATGAAAGAAGTCAACACACAAGCTGGATGCCGAAGGTAAATTTGCCATCGCTTTGCATGCCTGTAGTGTTAGCCACCGGCTCCATGCAGATTGGATTTGCATGCACAAGACATGAGACATCATGTTTACAAACAACTTTGTTACCATGAACACGCGGACAGAACCTCTGGAAAACAATGAGGCACTGGCAAACCAACTGACCAAAGTGTCAGAGGAAGACCTCAGCGGCTCCCAAGGGCGCAGAGCATGACACCTCCCACGATGCGCTTCGTGCCTGCCAAGGCACGAATTACTGCTTTCGGTTCCGCCAAGAGCTGAGTGGAGAGGAGCATGTGCGTCGTGCTTGATGCTTGAAGTCTTTCAGGGTGTGCACATGCCATAAATGGCGGTGCTAGTCGCGATTGGGAATTTATTCGGCATGTCACAATGAGCCCAGGAAACAAGCCCGCTTGGCAGCCAGTAACGCACGTTTGCGGCAGGCTGCCTCTGCTGGCGCGCCTGCGCACAACGGCAGCGCGGCCAAGGGGCAGAAGCGGCAGCTGCCGCCGTCCAACGAAGGCAGCAAGCTCCAGAGACGAGCAGCGCCCAGTGGCCGCCTTAGGGCTGACTGATTGGCATTGGATGCTAAAGCCTTGAGGTGACGACGACATTGCGCATCCAAACCTTCGGCTCCGCACCCGGTACTGGCTTGGCTTTGCAAAATGCTGCAAAGCGACAGTGATCAGGCCTGACAGCGAGGAGGGGCAGTCCTCAGGCACCGAGCTGTGAGTTGCTTGAGTTGAGATCTTGAATGCCTGGGAGCGAGTGCTCCGCGCTCCATTTGCCTTCGGACTAACATCCGCAGGCTCGGTGAGCCCGACGTCGCCTGGCCGGCCATCTGATGCCCGGATTGTGTGCGCAGCTTGGTGGGCCAGAGGAATCTGGGCGGGTATTCTACCGCAGCTGCAAAGGGTGATCGTTTCACAGTGGGTCCAATTTGTTGAATCATGCCTCTGGAAAGACAGGCATCCTAACACAACACTCATGTTTAACCCCCTTAGCCTCTTGAACTGCGCTTCAGCCATCCTATTGTTTTTCCTGTCTATCTTCTCTGGTTGGGGGTTTTCATCGGGTACTCACTGCTTCTCGCAAAGCTCGAGGTACCGGAGCTTTTGCCCGCTGCCCATCAAGCTGTTGCAGCGCCCTGGGATGGTCTCGCAGCTTCGCATTTCGCGGTAGGTGCCACGCTGAGAAACTAACCCCCTCGAGGCCCGGGGTGCGGCTTGAGGCGGAGCAAAACCGACCCTGGCGCTGCCCTCAGGCCTTCAGTTTGCATCGAGGGCCGGAAGGGACTTCTGCTGATAGATCTGGGCCCGTTGAAACATGCTGAGGGTTTCTCAAAATTGCCCTGGCGGCGGGTTTCCCTCCAAACCTCCAATTGTTTAGAAGGTAATGTGGACATATCTCTTTTGCGGACCCAGTTGACGGTTGTAGGCTTTACCCCATTTGCGGGTGGGTTGGTTGGTTGGTTGGTTGGTCAGTCGGGTCGGTTGGGCCGGGTCGGTCGGTCGGTTGGTTGGCGAGTTGGTTGTCTTATTTGCGGTTTGGTTGACTGGTTTTTGATGATTTCGTTGATAATCAATTCGGGCGTCACTCAGGCTGAGCGTGGCCAGATCCATGCTGCCCAACGCTGGGCTGGGCGTGTTTGCTCTGAGGCCCTAGAGCATTTCAGATAGGCTTCTCGGAAAGTCCTTCTCGCTGCCCGATGGCAGTCAGGACTTTCCCTGTCGGAGCTGTCCTGTGCCAGTTTGAGGCGTACTGTGCCGCTTTGAGGCGTGTTGTGGCGTGTTAACTGTCATGACAGGGCTCATTGCTAGCTGGCATCAAGCCGAAGGCAGGGCGTCCTCCGGTGACGTGTTGAATGTGTTGTTTGGAGTCTGGGGTGCAGAGGGGGCATCCGTCCCCTAGAAATGTATGGGCTTGATCGGCTGTATGGCACCACCAGGTCTTGGAAGATGCTTGCGAAGGCACCGGTCGGGGCTCGGGATCGGTTCAAAGGGGCAAGTGTGACGTGACTGGACGAGAATCAGCGAGAACCAGCAGTATGGGAGACCTTTCGACAGAGAAGAGATACCGCAAGGCACGACTCAGGCGGCAGCTGGAAGGCACGACGAGGATAGTTTTTTTGACAGATCTCAGGCACCCACAAATAGCAGAATTTTCGATCGGGCAGATGCATCAGTCTTCTACAGCTTAAGTCGAGTTGTGGATTGGCACTGGCCAAAGAAGACAGGCCCTGCGTGACTTTGGGCACAGGTACGTGCTGAGCCTTCACAACGGAGGCTGGTTTCACTCAGGGTCTCTGACGATTGGGCCGCTACGCAAAGGGAGTTGTTTCCCAGAAACCTACCGATTCTGGGGTGGCTTTGCACATAATTCTGAGGATCCAGTTAACGTCCAGTTAAACGTCCCAAGGTCAGGAAACAGGCGTCGGGCTTTGGACTGGGCTCGCTATTTTGCTACCTTCCGTGGCTTTGGGGCCTTTCACCCCAGGGCCTGACTTCAGGCTGGGTGCTGGACGGGGGGCCGGTGGCCCGCGCCATTCGCAGAGGCGCCGAGGCCGGGCACCCTGACAGAGGGGGGGGGAACACCGCTTTCCCCTGAACATCGAGTCTTAGAAGCTGCGAACGGAATTTGCTCGTGCAAGAAGACGCTTGAATTCGTAGGGGGTTTCTGTGGGACCCGTTGTCCGGGCTCGATGCAACAGAAGCCGCACCAGTTGGAGGGGCCCATAGTTCACACCGTGGGTGCAGGAGGTGGAGATGACTGTCCTCACTCCAGGAGAATGGAGTGCTCTATGTTTGGGATTTACTTTCGGGTCCCAGTGCTTTCCTTTAAATCCCAGTTTCCCCGTAAACTACCATATAGACAACCTTGATGGACCCCCAGCAGTTTACTGTCAGCGGAGGCAAGCATGCTATGTGTGCTCTTCTTTTGCAGGAGGTGATCACACCACTGAAAGAAGGACGCTAGAGGATGTTGGCGCCGGGAGCCAAGAAATATGCGGACGCGTCAAAGCTGCCACAAAAGCTTGGTTCAAAGGTTCGATCGATTTGGAAGCCAACATAACATTGACCGTTTGCAGAGTGTGCAGTTGGTTTTGACACATTGCCCATGCTTTTCAGCGGGCTGCTTGTTTCTCTTTGGCTCAAGCAATCTTTGCTTCCAGAAACATCAGAACATCGAGTCGCTTTCTTTAGCGATGGCGGATATGGCGGACGAGGTGGTGGCGCTTGTGGTTGACAACGGCAGCGGCATGTGCAAAGCAGGCTTTTCGGGTGATGACGCGCCCCGTGCGGTGTTCCCCTCGATCGTGGGTCGACCGAAGATGCCAAACATCATGGTGGGCACGGATCAGAAGGACACCTACATCGGGGATGAGGCGCAGCGCAGTCGTGGAGTGCTGACTCTGAAGTACCCCATCGAGCATGGCATCGTGACTAACTGGGATGACATGGAGAAGATTTGGTCGCACACCTTCTACAACGAGCTGCGGGTGTCTCCAGAGGAGCATCCTATGCTCTTGACGGAAGCACCGCTGAATCCAAAGGCCAACCGTGAGCGCATGACGCAGATCATGTTCGAAACCTTTAGTGTCCCGGCTATGCATATCTCCATCCAGGCCGTGTTATCGCTGTATGCATCCGGGCGGACCACTGGCATCGTCATGGACAGCGGCGACGGGGTGTCCCACTGCGTCCCGATCTACGAGGGCTACTCGCTGCCGCACGCAGTGGCCCGCCTCGACTTGGCCGGCCGCGACCTCACGGAGTACCTCATGCTGATCCTCAAGGAGAGCGGCTACTCCTTCAGTACCACGGCAGAGAGGGAGCTGGTGCGGGACATGAAAGAGAAGCTCTGCTATGTGGCGCTGGACTTCGACAGCGAGCTGAAAGCCTACGAAACCAGCTGCGACCAGGCAAAAACATACGAATTGCCAGATGGCAACTTAGTGACCTTGCACTCCGAGCGCTTTCGCTGCAGTGAGGTGCTCTTTCAGCCGAGCTTGTTAGGCAAAGAGGCCATGGGCATTCACGACACTACCTTCCAGAGTATCATGAAGTGCGACGTGGACGTCAGGCGAGACCTCTTCGCCAACCTGGTGCTGTCGGGCGGGTCCACCATGCTCCCTGGAATTGGCGAGCGCATGACCAAGGAGCTGAGTGCGTTGGCGCCGTCCACGGTGAGGATAAAGGTGGTGGCACCTCCGGAGAGAAAGTACAGCGTGTGGATCGGTGGCTCGATCTTGTCGTCTCTGACCACCTTTCAGCAGATGTGGATCTCCAAGGCTGAGTACGACGAGAGCGGTCCAACCATCGTCCACCGCAAGTGCTTTTAGGCAGCTTGTAGTTCAAGACTGCAAGATGCTACGAGACTGGGATGTTTCAGGATCCAGCGCAGGTTTTGATAATTAGTCTTTCTGGTCTTTGTGGCGCTGAGCCGCAGGCAGCAACACGGCGGCCATGTTGCAGAGGGTATGACTCTCAGGTTCATGGTGGCTATTTAAGTTGTAGACATGTACAGCAAACGAGCCACGGCGACTCTCTGAAGCCACGCGATTTGTCCGGAAAAGACGACGCTATCCCTTGTCGTGCATGTCTTAATGGTATGGCCAAGGTCGGCTGCATGGTGAATCATGGTCAGCAGCCCAGATTTGTCCATGGACCCAGCCAGAGGCTTGCACTTTGACGCATGGAGTTGCATTTTTAATGCTTTCTTGACTTCCAGCGGGGACTCCTCGGCAGAATTTGAACAGGTCAGTGATGTTTGAATCTCGAGGCACCAGGGACTCCGCCAACGCGAAGTGGGAGCCTCAGAAGTTCTGCCCGACTCAAGGCAATGTGGTACTGAGGGATGGACATGTTGAATCCTAAGGGTTGTTTCAAGCGGCTCCAATTGTTTCTTTAGATTCTGAATTGGACATGACACATGACGTGACATTGGCTGCATTCTGTGTTCGATCTGCACTGGGACGTCGGCACCAAATGTGCTTTCATAGTATGTGGGCCCGCCCCATGGCGTTGCTCTCCTATTGGTTGAGGCAGTTTGAATCTTCTAGTTTGCGCTCAATATCTCGAAGGCTTTGTGGGTGCTGTTTTTATCATTGCTGCTCGGCTCGAGTCCATCATGCGAGCAGCAGCAGCTTGCTCCAGAGCATGAGGTTCATCCTGATGAAGAGCGACCGCAGCGGACTCCTACCCGCAACAGCTTATTTGCAGGCAAAACCGTTGCTGCAAGCTTCATGATGTCGCAAGGTTGACATCCAGGGCGGTTTGAGAACTCGCGCCCCCGCGTCGAGGCGACGCGAGAGATCGCTGCCGGGGAAGAGCTCCTGGCGCGGTATGGCAACGCTGAGCCACCGCCCTTGGAGTCGAGTTGTTGGCCGCCGGGGACCGGGGCCCCGTGGGTGAGCAGCTAAGCCATCAAGGGAGACCTAAGGGTGACTTGTGGAGAGCGAGTTACGGAAGGTGAGTCAGAGGGTGACTTCTGGCGGTCGACATATTTTTTGGATGATTTGGTCAGAGCTTGGAAGGGCTGAGCATTCTTTCTTTCTAGAGGCCATGACAAGGACTGTGCACTTTGACCGCCTCAGGTCCACTGCCTGGGGTTGAGCGCAGGGTTGCCACATGGCAACCAGGTCTTGGCGATGTTCCACTCGAGTCCGGATGGTCTTGTGAGATATTTGCTTGGGGAGACGTGCCTCAAGCCAAGCTGCTTTGTTTCGCTGGGTCATTGGGAGATCAGGCTTGCATTGATGGACCACCGAAGCTGAGGTTGGGAATGGGCCTTAGGATGTGTGTCAGGGTTGTCCATCAGTGTCCTGACAAGTCCACACTGTACATGCTGCTTCGATTGTGCAAGGGGATATCTCAAAGGGGGCGGTGTGCACTGAGAGTGCGAGAGAAGAGAGAGAACCCGACGCCATGAAGTCGGCATCGTGTGAGGCATGGCGTGAGCTGCAAGCCCGGCTCGAACGCCGCCATGGAGCGGCGGAGAAAGTTGGGGTGCAGGCAGCGAACTGGCGAACTGGGTCCGAGTTTGGAGGATTTGCAAAGAGAACTCGCTCCACTCCAAGCTAAGTCTGCGTGTGAAGAGGCTTGCGGGTGTGGAGGGTGTCCCAGGCTGGGCGGCCTTTGCGGGCTCGCCCTTCTGACCTGGGCCTCACTGGCCCCGGCCGCCCTAGCCTCAGAGCGACTGGGATCTGGGTGCAGTGCCCTGACGGGGATGTGCTGACATTCTCGTGTTGACACAAATGGTTCCCCCAGACATCGTGGGCAGAACATGCGAAGCTTGCGGCAAACCCAGAAAGGCTTTGGAGTGAAACGGGAAGCATGTTCAATGCTGAGGCAGCCTGAGGAAGCGCTACTGGCGGCTCGCTTGGCGGCTCGGCTGGCGGTGCTGGGAATCCCGGAGGCCGAAAGTGGGGCATGCCATTCTGTCAAGTCCAGGCGCATGTTTGATCATGGTCTACGGTTGAATTGCTCGCCCTAAGCCTATTGAAAGGTGAGTGCTGTATGTACTCGTTGTTTGAGGTTTGGCTTGATGCAGCGAATGGATCACGGTGCAGTGTGGAAAACATGAGAAAAAGCTACCCGAGTAGTGCTCAAAGAGAGGCAGTAAGTTGCTGCAGCTAGGCGTGAATGCACTGGCAGAGCTTGCCGGTGGACATCAGCGCCCAAGTGTTAGGCTGGGCATCGGACATCCAACTTAGCGACACTTCTGACGGACAGGTTTGCTGATATATTCCCGACCCACTCATGTGCCCTACCAACACCTGGTCCAGATCCCTGCGAATGGCACGAATCGATGGAAGGCTCATGCACCCTGAACCCGTTTCATCCCGTTTCCCCTCACGACTGCCCCGGCGAGCGCCTTTGCTCAGTTTGGATTTGTCCGGCACGCAGCACGCCCTGGATCGCTTTGCAAAGCGCAGTGGCGGTGCAAAGACGGCCGCAGGCAGGTGTCCGTCAGCTGGGATGGCTCAAGAAAGCTCGCGGCCACTGATGTTGCCTTTTAGGGGGGAATTCGTCAAGTGAGATATCGGGCTGTCATGCAAAGAGCTCCTGTCTGAGAACACCATAGCTACTAACAGACAGAGAAGATGCCCCACTGGTTGCAGGTGCCATGCTGGTAGGCGGCATTGCGACTATGGCGCTGCTTCGAGATGCGTTGGAGTCTCACAGACTTCACGTGGCGGTTTCTCCTCCTCCTCCTCCTCCTCCTTCTTCCCCTTCTTCCTCCTCATCTTCTTCTCCATGCTCTTCTCACTGTAGGTGTGCTGTATGCAGCATTTTGATCCCTTCCGGCATTTACGTGTGAGAAGCACACTCAAGCTCTGGGACAATGCAGGTGGCACAACGTCTTCCTTGTGATAGTTTCTGAATGTTTGTCATGCATCTCCAAAGACAAAAAGAGCGCGGTGTCACCTCCTGTTGCTTATACTGTTTTTGATGTGCCTTGGAACCGTACGATGAGGCACACGTGGTTGCACAGGTCGAAGCTAATGGACGGCCGCACCAAGCCCAGCTGGGCCCCTTTTCTGGGCTTAAGTGACCCAAACGCAAGGGTCTTCTCTGTGATGTTTTGTGATCGTTGAAGAGAGACAGCCCAAAAGGCCCTGCCGTGTTGACTTCTCAGGCCGGTGCCTGCCACCTGCGCCACCTGCCTGGGCGCCACAGTTGCCGGCTACGCTGTGCAGCTGCCGCGCCCAGACATCTGACCCCCACCCCTTCTTTTTGCATTTGGGGGCTATGGCAGGAGGTTCGTACAGACCCCCAAGAGCCGCCGGCACCGTCTTGCGACGTGCGTGGGGCAAGCTATGCGTTCAGCCGCTAGCCAAATTGTGTCTCCTCGGCCTGGTGTGATCCCTTTCGGGGAACGAAGCGTTTTGTGCGCTTGTGATGCAGTGGTGCACCGCAACGCTTTGAGTCCTGGCCATGTTTGACTTCAAAGGGAGCCAATAGTTCTCATTTGAGTCTTTTTAACGCATGGTTGATGACCATGCTGATTCCCCTCAAGCAAGCAGAAGTTGACCGTCATGTGATGTGTGGAGAGTAAGGAAGGGTAGCCGACTGGGCGATTCCACTCGGCACATCGGAAAGCAGGCGTGCCTTGTTTGCCCGAATTCTGCTGATGTTCGCGACCGCGCGCAGGTATCCACGATTTGGGATGCTGTCACGTTTGGTTCTGACAGAGGCCCGCATGGGATGGCTGGAAAGATGAGAGTGATGGCGCGTCTTGTCAGGCCGTCGCCGTTAATATTTCTGCGGGGGCCCAGGCTGAACGGTTGTCGGGGATATCATTCAGCTGGTTGTCAGGTGTGCGGGGATGGCTGCAGCTGCCATGTGATACTCCGGTTGGCTCCTTGGAATTCGGACGAATCTAGACTTTAGCCTCTGCGTGTGGACTGGCTGCAGGTAGATTTGGCCGGGAGTTGAGTCGGCGGGTGTGTGCTGTCCACGTTGCGCGGGAAAAAAAGGTGGCGCGTCCATTGGGCCACGGTGCCAGCTCAGCATTTCACCCCTTTTCGTTTGGGCCTTTGGGGAAGGTACAACAAGCCGGGCTGGACAAGCTGCGAGCCTGAGTGCAGGCCCTAGGTGGGAACATTGGCGTCTCTTCGCACGTGCTGAGCCCTGTGTTCCTCCGTTGGCGCTCAGGTCTCGGGAACTGCTTGGGATTTGTCTCAAGAAGATACGAGGTGGGATGGCAAGCGGGTCGAGCATGCCAACAGAACATGAGCTTTGGTCTGGCAAAATTCTGCGCCAGGCATCGGGAAAGAAGTCAGGCCGTTTCGTTGAGCATAATGCAACTACATATTGTCACTGTCACCTTGTGGTTGCCAGGCTTGTCGATGCTGCATTTGTGTGGACCGAGGAGCACTTGACAAACGAAGCATAGCGTGGCATCAATCAGCAAGAGTGCGGAATATCGAGGAGCATTCCATGCGCATCCGAGTGAAGATCACGGTGCAGAAGGAGGTGCTCGTAGTCCGAGACACTCTAGATGAAGTTTGTAGAGGCCTTTGTGGAAAGCCTTGGTCAAATGCGCTGTTGGCGAGTGCCCAATATTGCTCATAGCTGCAAAGGTACTTTCACGAAGAGTACTTGTTTCAGAACGGACAGTAGCTTTGCATACGACATGAGTTGCGTGGAGGTTGCGCAGTCCAGCGTTCTACAGCAGACGATGGTGATAGAGTTTCAGATTGTGAACCAGCAGTGTGAGGATTGTCAAAAGTCTGAGCCTAAGAGCTTCAAGTTTTGAAGATTATTTTTATCGCCTTCATGGCATGTTTGGGCAGCTTCCATGCAAACTGATTGCTTAGATGTATGATAGATGCTGTCTTTGTGTGGGACACGTGTGCTGAGTAATTGTTTTCCGGCCACGTTGCACGCGCGGCTTTGTCAGGTCCTTCACACCTCACTGCTACAATGCCATTGTGCAGGTCAGGCAGAAGGTGCCGCACAGAAGGACAGGCCGAATCTTGCGATCGACACCTCGAAAATGCGCACGCAGGACGTTTTGCTACTTGGAACAGCTGATCCTGAAGAGTGACGCCCACGCCAAGGCGCCTTGCGATTCTATGAAGCTGATCAGGCCTCCACTTTTGCTATACCCAATTCTTCTTCGCTAATGGACACCTGAAGCTGATGCGATGGCAGGTAACGTCTTTGAAGGAGACCAGGGAGGGCCTTGACTTCTACTTCGAGACCAAGAGCCACGCGCAGTCGTGGGCTTGGACGCTGGCGGCTAGTCAAGCGTGTAAGTCTTAAGCTCATGTTCTGCACTGCATGTCAGCCTCCCTAGGAGATTTGCAGATTTCGTGGAAGCTCATGTGGGGGTGCTCAGCATTTCGAGAGCTTGGGAGGACAAAGCCAGCCTTTTAGGCTCAGTCCACCCTGCTTGCCAGGTGCCAACCAAGACCAAGCAATCCCGACACCTCATCTCTCACGACGCCAATAGCAAGTCCGACCCTTGGACCCTTGGGGCCTGAAACGCGTGGAGCATAGCAAGACAGTAATCTCACTTTGGCAACTGCCCAGCACCTTCAACTTCAAGTACACCATCATGTGCGATCTTGCCCCCATTTGTGTAGATGATGCCTGGCACCCAGTCTGGGATGGATCACCAGCTTGCATCCGCTCTGGATTTTGCTAGCCACGCGCGCCAGGTAGTGCACGTGCCAAAGGGGCAGAGTGCAGCGCTGAACGGGGCGCCGCCGCTCATGCTCTGCCACAAGGTACCGGCCTTTTTGCCATTTGGAGACTTTTAGTTTTCTTGGGAGCCCCGTCAAACATGGTTGGTACACGTATCTCCCCAAATGATGTCACGCTGACATGAACCAAGTTGTGCGCTGAATGCAAATGCACAGCCACCTGGGAAGCGTGTCATGCGGTCAGGTGACCAATGCCATCCGGCTGGTTGATCCACTCTCACTGCGAAGTGTTGCCCCGAGGGGGTTCAGGGTCGTATGTGTCATGGTCACACCCCATGAGCAATGAACTCGATAAGTGAAGGTCACTGCCTTTGGCTCAAACCTCAAGACCTACCGAGCCCTTGTCAGTTGCAATCATTTGCTCGTCACGGCTGATGTCGCCACGAGTCTTGAGCGGTAGCGGTACGTTGAGGAGTGGCGTCGGAGGGCAGCTGCGCTGCACAGCGGAGGCGCCCACAAGAGAGCGGGGTTGACGGCTGCCATGGTCAGCGATGCCTTTTTTGCCACGCAGTGCAAATGGTGCCATACGCCAATGGTGCCACATGGGGGTTGGCCGTCCTCCTGAACCCGGTAGCTCTTTGCAAAAGAGGCTGGGGTGGCCGAGTGGAGGTGATCCTCAAGTTGACAGCCAAGTCATCCGGTGACTTGTAAGTGTCTGGGGAGCGGTGCTGCAGGCGCGGTACTAACGAGGTGCCTCCCGGTGGAACGATCCTTCCTCGCGCACCTTTTGTGTGTCTAGGGTCACTTCAGCAGATCAATGTGCACATGGCATCCTCGCAAACTATGGACAGAAGCGCCGTTGAATCTCGAGAGAGCGCATGACACAGATCATGTTTGAGACCTTTATCGTTCCAGCCGTGGACATTGCCATCCAAGCCGTGCTGTCCTTGTATGCCTTTGGCCTAACCACAGCAGGCATCGTCATGGACAGCGGTGATGGCGTCAGCCACACACTGCCATCTACTAGGGATGCGTGCTGCCCCATGCCATCCTTCGATTGGATCTGGCTGGCCGTGATAGTACATGATGAAGATCCTCACAGACCGAGGCTATTTGTTCGACGCAACTGCAGGGAGGGAGATTGTGCGCGACATGATGGAAAAACTTTGCTATGTTGCGATTGATTTTGACAGTGAGATGAAGTCTTCCTCTGAAAGCCGCGACGAAGAGAGGGCGTATCTACTGCCGGACGGTAACTTCGCCACTGTGTGGGCAGCGAACGGTTCCGCCGTGCTGAGGTTCTTTGTCAACGAAGCTTTGTGGGCAAGGAGGCCAGCGGCATCCACGACTCATTTGAAGTGCGATGTAGGCGTTAGACGAGAATGGCGGCGTAACAATGTTTCCAGGCATCGGAGAGCGCGTGACCAAGGAGCTGACTGTACTTGCGCCCTCAACCATAAAGATCAAAGTTGTGGCCCCATGCGAGCGAACGTATGGGTTTGTGGTTCCATCCTATCCTCCCCTGCGCACGTTCCAGTAGATGTGGATCTTCAAGGGGGAGTACGGCAAGAGCGGCCCCACCATGGTCCACCGCAGTGCCCGTGGAGGAATGAAACAAATTGTACAGACCTCTTTTGGCACATCGAGGGGGGCTTCAAGTTCACAACCAGTTGCATTGCATTTCGTGGCGGGCCAAAGGCCCAGGTGGCCATCCTTGCAACTTACAGCATTGCACTTTGCAAGTCGCAAGTGGCCCCAGAGAAACACAATGCCAGCCAGAATATTTGCGCGGCCCTTTGGATTCTGTACTTAGTTTTCGGATTTTCATCATTTGATTCTGACTCACATGGCAAGGAATACCCTCGAAAATTATTGCTTGTTGCAGTCAGCTGAAAGTTTTGCTCTGCATGCGCGAAGGCTATGACATTCCAACACCAGACGCTCGACTGCAGGGCGGTGTTTGATTTGTGGAGGGAAACTACAGCCAAGGGAAAGTGCCCCGGCTTACAATCGGCAAATGCATATCACATGGAAATTAAGCTAAGCTCTAAAATTCCAATCTTACGCACTGCGCACAGAGCAAGGGCAAGGGTTTAATCTTGTCAGCCCTGATTGTCCTTGATCCAGGAATACTGGAAGCGGCCTGTCCATTCAGCCAGCTAGCTCAGTATATTGTGAGGTGAAGTCTTCTCGGCGCCGCTTCCATGTGAGGTTTGTCGACGGGAGCATCTCACCGAGTATGTTGTCTTGAACGTGGAACCCGTTGAGAAAGCGGAGGCCTAGCTTGAGTTCGGCTCGAGCCATCTCTGGAAACACCGACCCTGAACCTGGAAGGGACAGGTGCACCACACCATCCCCATGCTATATAGTTTTGTACAACGCATGAACTCTTATGCAATTGCTTGACATTCACATATGTTTGTTGCTTTTGGAGGGCTTTTTCAAACTTTTGGGCCTTATTGGTATCCCCCTTAAAAGGCGGTACAAAGCAGCACCAAGGTCCAAAAAAAGGCCATCTTTGTGACTCCCCCCACCAGCTGAACTCAGCTCGTTTGACCAGCCGTGCTCGGTTTGCAGGCCGGCTCTGCTGCAAGGCACAACCTACCCGGGCGGGGCAAGATGTCCCTGGCTGATGTGGAGGCGAAGAATGAATCGCATTGTTTGTGGTTAACTCTACTTGACTATTTTGACTATTTCGTGCACGAACGGCATGGCGAGTTGCTCTCCGCCAGATTGCTAGAGCCTGCGACTTGGGCGTCAACGATGACCGCATCATTGTCCGCAGTCATTTAGGAGGCTTCCTCAGGCCATCGTGAGCCTTCGAACTTGACACTTAAAGCTTTTGGCACAGGCCCACCGTTCTCAATCATGAAAGCTTTGCGGAGTAATATTGCCTGGGCATTTGCCCGGAACATGGGCTTAAGAGCACAAATGCAGCTTTGACGAAGCCTCACATTGCTGTCGTGGATGAGACGGTGTGCAGGCCTGGCGGTAGAGTGATGGGCTATGACCTGCGCACGGTCAACGCTTGACCCTCAATGAGATCGGAGTGTTTCTCGCAGTTTGCCTTGGGTTGTTCCAGCAAGATTACGGTCTTTCGGCTGAGCCGGTCATGCCTCAACGGGTGAGGTCAGTGGGATCAGCGACGAGGCCTTCAAGGACTGGGCGTAGAGGGACAGCTCAGGGGGATGTTGAGTTATAGATACGGGGCTTTGTTATTTCAATCGTTGCGTCAGGCCAACCGCAATTTGCGGTTTATCATGTCGAAACTTTGTGGTGAATGGTTTGCCACCCAAGCACTCGCGCTAGTCTCCCGTGCCACTGGATCCCATTTTCAGGGCGGGACGCTAGACGTCGTCCTGGTGAAGAAGGCAGGAGTTTTAGGCCTCAACATGGTGAACCCCTCCGGCATTGTTGGCAAAGAAAGCCAACAATAAAGTGTGAGGGAATCCCAACTTTCTCAACATGTCTTCGTTTTGAATGTGGAATCTGGTGTTGTCTTTCCTTGGTGAGCATCAGCCAACTGGTTTAGTGTATGAGTTGGCTCAAGCGTCAGGTTTACAATAGGAAGAGCAAGAGGAAGCCTGGGCCTCAGAATTTGAAGACCTTGCAGGATTTTGCAGGTAGGCATAGTTGATTCCCCGAGCTGTTCTGGGAGTCATGCCTGATGGCAGACATTGGCAGACCTTAGGTGGGAGCTGAAAAGGCTGAACAGAGAAGCTGTGGAAGGGGAGGATGCTGTTGACGATGATGCCGACATGGAGGCCGATGCCCTTTGAAGAGGTTTCAGCAGAGCGACCAAATGGCAATGCAGCAATGCATGTTACTTTTGGAACCTTTTCAATGCTCGTCCATGCAAATGGCCAGCTTAAAGGGTTCATGTCCTCTAAGCAACACGCCCTGTCCATGGAGGCTTATGGTTGACAAGCTGCCAGGCGCTGAAGCAAGACCTGGAGGAAGACCCTGACTTGCGAAGAAGTGTCAATATGTACAGGCGGGGCTGCGCTGAGAACCACCCCCCGTCTCCCCGCAGCAAAACAAAATGCCCCGCATGTCTCCGATTTGAGCCATGCTTTCGGAGACATTGCTTTGGTCTGAGGAGTGAAGCGCCTCCTGGAAGCAAGGGCGAGCAGGCAGGGGGAGAGAGAGAGAGAGAGAGAGAGAGAGAGAGAGTGAGAGAGAGTGAGTGAGAGAGAGAGAGAGCGAGAGACAGAAAAGGAGAGAACATGTCAATGTGACCCATGCCACCCATGCCCATGTTCTTTCCTTTTAATTTTGCTGTTGTTGTTAGCATGTCTGGAAAAGGTTACACACGATTTTTGGAAATTTTGCTGTCCTTGAAGCCATGGACACCTTTTGCCAGGAAGATAAGCCCGATGCCGCGGACGAGGAGCCATTGGGCGGGCTTGCGGCGTGTGCGTCGGGGTGCGCAAGTGTCACTCGTCTCCCGCATGTTTTCCGCGGAAGGATGAGGATGCAGACTCGGATGCACCTGAGGCCAGAGATCCTTTTAGTTGACATGGGTATGGGTCAAAATACAATCACCAGGGCACCGCGGGTTTTAGTCTTTGGTTCCATTTGCCAGGGTTCCATTTTGGGTACGCATTTTTGACGCATGGCCATCGGAACATATCGCCTTGAGGTGCCACTTGCCGAGCTTCTGGAGGGCCTGGAGCTTCGCGATTGAGACCGCAGAGCCCCAGAGCCCCGGGCCCCGCGCGTGATGTTAATGAGAGCTGCGGAACAGCCAGACTCGAGGACCGTCCGCGGTTCCAGCTGTCCCGGGTTCCGAGTCTTTTCGGTGTTGAGCACCACATCAGCCTCACTCCGTTGCGAGACAAGCTGGAAAACGAAGAGGCCTGCGGACACTGCGGGGCGAGGGGGAGGCTCACAGAACTGTTGGTGCCGAGATTGGCTTATGGCTGTTTCCGGCTGCTCTGGTGCCATAATGTTTTTGCTCAAGCAAAGAACTTGGGGCTCGATTTGCAAGCTCTCACCTTAAGTTCCATTCGGCAATGCGCAGAGATGAGCACAGACCAAGGCGGTTGACACAAGCCGAGGGCGCGCAGGTGCTTTGTGGTTGCTGTGAGTTCCTTTCCTTGGAAGGCGTGCAGACCCGCAGGTGCCTTTGCAGTTGCGGTCATGTCGTCCACGGAGACAGCCGCTGCCTTGGCAGGGTAAATCAAATTCAGAGCCCCAGTGGCGTGGCATTTGGGTGTCAGGGAGCAGAGATAAATTCTGGACCCAGGCGAATAAGATGAAAATTGCGCTGCTGAAGTATCCCAAGCGCGCAGCGATGCAGGCAGGCCAACTGTCAGCTATCTCATGCACAGACCGAACAATGTGACATTTTACGCAGACAAGCATTATCAGCTTTATTGAACACATGCAAACTCAACCATAACTCGTAGACGAAGAGGCAGAGGCAAAAACACAGCGATACAGGGAACACATGTTCTTGCTCGCAGGCACAGCTGAAGAAGATCGCACCGAGGCAGGTCAAGGTGCAGAGCCTCAGATTCCGCTTAATGTGCAACATTTGCGCACTGTGTCAGGTCCCAATGCTTTCTCCTTGGTGGTGTTACGTATTGTCTCAGGACCCTTGAATGTGTTTTTGTTCTTTGATAGGGCGCCTTGGGTGATGTTTCGAGCACCGGTTTCTGCGCAATCTGGCAGCCGGCTCAAAAGTCTAGGGCATGTTTTGCTACACAGTAGTCCTTGGAATGGGCTTAATGTTTAGTCAAATCTTCGCATTGTGCCAATTCAGCTTTCAGAAGACAAAAACAGGCAACTACGTACCAAGTCAACACCGAACTCCTTCAAACTATTTTTCCCACAGCATCAGCCGATGCTCGAGAATGCCGAGACCGGCCAAGAAGGTGAAGGCGTTGCAAGAAGCAAAGCATTCACCTTGCAGACGCAGCACGAGCCGTGCGTTGCAGGCGAGCCGCGAAGCTGAGAGTGCCATCCAGGCAAAGCTGATTGGTCTGCCGGGCTGCCGGGCTGCCCCGGGCTGGGCCTGCATTGGGATGAGAGAGGATATTTCAGGATGTCACCGACCAGCTCGTGGGTAAGCTGGACTTCCACATCCTGGTGGAAAAGGCGCGCCAAAGGCAGCTTTAGGTGGCTATACATTTTGATTGGGAACGCGGAAGGCTTTTCCCCAATGGTGGACCTGAATATATTCTTGGAAGTGCCCACACAGTATTCCCAGTGCCTCATACCCAGATCCATAGGACCCGGAGCTCTCCGTGAGCTCCGACGCGGAATTGCTGCAGGCGGAGTGCAGTCGCAGCCGGGAATGGGGACGCAAGCGCCTTCGGCCTGCGAGGCGCTGGCCGAGCTGCGCCGAAAGCTGGTGGCGGTGAAGCAGGACGTGGCCTGCAGCAAGACGACTGGGAGGGTCTGGGGGTCGGGGCGAAGCCGCAGTTGGGTCTGTTACGGGCAAAGAGTCTCACCGAGTGAAATTTGGTGGAAGTATGGGGCTGGTTCCAGGGACTCTCCCTTTTAGTTGACAAGTGACCAAGCTGTTGGGGAAGCGGGACGATTTGAGGAGGGAGGTCCTTGCCTGTGGTCGCTCAGGTGCAGCTGGTTGGGCAGAAGTTTGCAGACCAGAGCACGAAGGCCACACCAGCACAAGCATGTGCGCATTGGCTGTGAAGTACCAGGGTTAATTGACTGCTGATACAGGGGAAACATGCTTGCGTGTCGAGGTTTCATAGGGCATGCCGAAATGCCCACTGTCTCGAGTTTACGCGAGTAGCTGGGAATTCAACGGGAACTATGTCAAACAGGAGCCAATTCCATGTCCAACAAAATCACACCTTCTAGGAAGGTTCTGAGAGCTAGTTCTGAGTGGTAGGGGGCCCAGGACAGAGAGCATGTCCAACTAAGAGCACACTGATGCGTGTGTTGGGGACGCAAGCAGTACCGTTCCAAAATACAACCATGCACGTTCCCAATCCATGTGCGAGCCGACTGATCCCACGGGATCAAGAACAAAATCACCAGCCCCGAACGGCCCTTTCATGTCGCAAACCAGATTTGGCAAAACCACCAAGACCAGAAGGGGCAACAGAAGCAGGCGACATGCTGTCAGAAACACCTGCAAAGTAGAACGCAGGTTTCGCACAAACACAGCAGAGCACTGGACAAAAGAAGGCTTCTGAGGTGCCCGCCCTCCAAGTCCAGAAAGCCTTTGGCTCTAGGAACAGGAATCCTATTCGGAAAACCTGCATGGCGAATCCTCGGCATTCACGCGCCCTGAAGAGACACGTTGTGGCGGATGGGAACCACGCCCCAGATTGCACGCTTTTTCCACAGGATGCGGATCCCAGGGCTCCAGCCTCCTATGTCGAGATGAAGGCTGAGACCGAAGTGCGTGAGATGCACTTTCGCTTCTTTGGGGCGACCATTGATGTCGGTGTCCTTTGACCAAGCCGACATGGGAGGTTCAATTGCTTCTGAGCTACTTGATCGCTTTGACATACTACCTGCTGTTGAAAATCAAAGGCAGGGCAGTTTGGGGTGATTCGCTGCGCAAATTCGTTTCTTTAAGCTCAGCGAAGCGCTGCGTGTCAGCTTCTAAGGCAAGGGCATTTTAACCCGGGAATGCTTTTGGTACCATTTGAGGGAATGCACTCTTTGGACCCATCCTGCGTTGGTTTGCCCCTGGCAAAATTTGCAACATCCAAACGGGGGATGTACCCCAAATCCCATGCTGACAATCGCACTAGCGGCTTAGCGCCTGGCGATCGGGGAATCCTCCAGGAGCGCCCGTGCGAAGCCATCCGGTAGTGCCTGCGGCCCAGAGGGGGCGATGTGAGCTCCACGTTCGGCATTTGCCTCATAGAGGGGATCCCTCCCCTGCGAAGGCACGTGTTACACGTGTTTGCTTCCTTTTGGTTTCCTTCTCGCTTCATCCAAGAATTATTTCACTTGCAAACGTTTGCTGGATCTAGTGGGGCGCCTTCTTCTAAAAGGGTTTTCAAGGACATGTCTTTTCCTCGTCCTAGAAGGTTCTTCCCTGTCACTGATGAAGGAGCTGCTCGTGTGCAAAGGGCTGAACAATTGCTTTAGCTTTGTTTGTTTGTAGGCTCTTCTCATAGCATAGTGTGGAGATCCCCTTTCGCCCGCCAACGTCGCCGACGCCGAGGCCGCGTTTGCTGTGGATCCGGACGTTGCTGGAGAAGCTGAAGCCGGTGGACCAACGTTTGCAGCACCTCGGTTTGCAAGAGCCTGTGGGTGGAGTTGTTTTTGCGGAAGCTTGAGTACCCCGACCAGATGGGTTTGCCCGACGGGGGACACGTCAAGATGGTTGGATTTTTCCTTTGGTTTCCCATTAAATGCAAACCAAAGCGGGATCCCTCAAAAAGTTCACCAACTGTGATTTCCTTTTGCTTAGTGCTTGTGGCTTGGGAATCCTGGGCCGTGCTGTGCTAGAGGGGTCGGGTCGCAGAATTGAAGCTGGCCAGGTATCAGATGAATAAGCTCTTGCAATGGCATGCCAAGAAGGCAGAAGATTTGGAAGGCCCGGAATGGTGATTCAGCCACGGATTGTGACGGCAGTGATAGGCATATTGCGATCCAAGAGGATGTTCCTAGCTTGCACCCACACCCACACACACCCACCCACACCCACCCACACCCATCTCACACCATTGCACACCATGCCCCACCATTCCATCCCCACACCATCCCACACACACACACACACATGAGCCATAATCAAAGCTCGGGTAAGTGGGTTTGGGTACACCACTTTAATACCAAATTTTGATTGTGACTCACATCATCCACGTACACACACACACATGCACATGCAATCATATACACATGCGCACATACAGACACACACACACACATGCACACATACACAGACACACATACGCGCACACATACACGGATACACACACACACACTGACGCAAATGCAGCCGGCAGGATTGCCTGATGCTCAAGCCCGTCACCTGGAACATCATGAAGCTTTGAGTCAAGTGATGCAATCGCAACTGCTACTTCATAGGCCCTTCGTCCTGGCGAGCTCACGACCACAGTGCAAGATGAGGAGGTGGAGAAGGTACTGAGCTCAGATTTTCCACTTGAGGTCAGCCTCCTGCAAGATACCACCGCAAAGCACAAGAGATAAAGACCATGTTTGAGGTTTACATTGGGTCTATCCCAAATAGACCCGCACGGGTACTAAAGGGTTGTAATAGACCCCACTTGATCCGAGTCGAGTATGTATTATGTGTTGTTATCATGTTTGTTCCAAGGACGAAGCTCAACCCACCGATGCCGCGGGACACTTGGGGGCATACAAGCCACCGAAGATTGCGCAGGCCGATTTCGGAGTCAGTGCGCACGGTCAACTGGCAGAAGCATTGGTAGTCTACTGTGGGATTGTGGAGGTAGACCCTGAGTTCCCTACAATGACCAAAAGCAGTGGTCCCAATTTCCCATGTCCGTGGGTCACATTCTGTTGTGAAGGGTGGCTCGGCAGCTGTAGCGTCGTTTTGGGAGTTAGTGCTTGTCTCCGGTGCAGGTGGAATACACAGGTGATCACGTCTCCATGCAGGACTCCGCTGCAACAAACCTCCCACATCCTTTGCGCGATTTGTTGTGCTTGTGTACTCTCTTGGACTCTGGACATTGACATGTTTCATGATTTGACTGTCAGATAAATCTC